CAAGTAAACTCCAACCATGGCTAAGACAAATAAAAACTCGAACTAGCTTATAAACCGGTATCCGGTTGGTCCGAACTCACAAGCCAAAATATTTATAGCGGCTCAACGCACTTTTTCCACCAGTATCCATAACCCTAACACTGCAACTAGAAGCATCGAGAAAAGCCGAAAAGAAATGGGAGTAGAGAAGCAACTCATCCGCCCGGGCACCGGTCCCAAGCCGGCCAAAGGCCAGAAGGTCACCGTTCACTGCACCGGCTACGGTACATCTCTCTATCTCGATTTCTCAGATACGGTTTGTGACTACGGAATGCATTTAAAAGCTTTGGAGTCTTTGATTCTAGGGTTTTCAGTAGGTTGTGTTTTCTTTGCAACCATAAATGTTTGAGTTGATCTGGTGATTTTGGATATAGGAAATGGAGATTTGTCTGAGCATTGCAATGTGATGAATTGAATTCTCCTAGTGTTAAAATTTTTAGAATTTCTGTTGAAATTTATGGTTTTATTAGGTGTTATAATGTTGGGAAATCTTGGAGTTTCTTTTATTTATGTAGATAATAATGCATACAAGAAGGAACTGAGATGACATGGTAATCAACTTCATTTTGCTTTTTTGCAGGGAAAAATGGTGATCTTTCTCAGAAGTTCTGGAGGTGAGTGTTGGGAGAATTTTGAACTAAAAGTAGAAAGTCAATTGGGTTTCATGTGCCATTGAATAATTATGTTTCTGTGTCAAATTATTTTTGTGTTATTTCAGCACAAAGGATCCTGGACAGCAGCCTTTCAGTTTTGAAGTTGGCCTTGGTAAAGTTATAAAAGGTAATAGTAATCACAAGTCATTAAGTCAAATGATGGCTGTGTATTAGAGATTGCTTTCCTTTGTCCATCCAGAGTACCTTAACTTCTATTTTCTTGATTGGTTTTCCCCTGATGTTGAGAGGAAGTCCATATTTCCCTGAAGCTAAGGTCTATAAGTGTTGGGGATTGAGAAAGTTTCATTTTTTTTTTTTTTTTCCTTTCTCCTCTCAAAATATTTATTTTCAAATTCAAACAGTGGGAAGTTTGATGTCATTGATGGGAAGTATGCATCTGCATATATCAATTGAAAGTAGAGTTTTGAAACTTGATAGATGTTTTGGACTTCTCATCCTAATGGCCACAGTACCATACCTCTTTTTTCTCTCTCTCTGTTTTGTTTTTCCCCCCAACATTTACATATTTTGTAATGTGACACATAATGCTTAATAGTAATACTTGAAATTTCTTGTGGAGAACTAATTCAATCTGTTCAACCAAATCGTAGGATGGGATGAAGGTGTTTTGGGAATGCAAGTGGGAGAAGTTGCTCGACTACAGGTACTACTTCTTGACTGATTTCTATTTGTTAAGTAAAATTGAAATACTTGTTTGAAGCTTCTAATTGATATTTTAAAGTATTTATTTGAGTAATACAATTTGTAGTTTATATTACTCTCTCAGTAGAAGACAGAAGACTTAGGATATAAGTACTTGCCATTTTCTTTATATTTTAGTTATTTTCTTTTATTTTTTATTTTCACTACTTCATTTGAATTTTCAGTATTTTAAACGTCTTCAATCTTCTTTCAATTAGTTTTTACAAGTATTTAGCAGTGTTGTCAAAAGCGATTGCTTCATCGCTTCATTGCTTTAAGTGATGAAGTGAAGCGATCAGAGGCACCACCACTTCAAAATTTCTAAAGCGCTCTACTTAAAAGAAGTGGTCCCAGAGCGATTGAAGTGAAGTGTAGCGATAAAAGCGCTCTAATGTTGAAGCGATCACTTCTTTAAAATGACACAAAATGACAAAAAAGTATAGAGGCATTAAGTGTTTAAATTGGAATTTTGACTCCAATTAGAGCAAGAACAGGAAGCTCTATGCCTGCCGACTTCCTCTTTCCCTAATTTTCTTTGTGATTCCATTGTTGTTTGATTTCAGCATCTTCCTGAGTCCTGACTTCATCAATCCATCTGCCGTTTACAAGAAAGTCCTTTCTTTTTTAAAAAAAAAAAAAATTTGCATATTCTGCTTCCCATCTCTTCTTTGTCCCTGACTTCATCATCTTCCCCAACTTTTTGACATATTCTCTTCTTTCTTTCTTTATTTTCATCTTCTTCTTCTTCTTTTTTTCCTATCAGCAGATTAGCTTAATTTAGTTAAGATAAAGTTTCATGTAAATATTAACAGAATTCTCTAGTGTTGTCTTAATTCTATGTATTTCCTCTTTATCCCTCCTTTATCTTTCAGCTCTATTTGTTGTCAGTAAACTTATAGTATTCAGATCTATCTAGTCTAGGGGACCTTGATTAAGAAACTTAATATCATCTGCATAGTATAGATTGAAATAGTTAGTTTTTTACTTTATAAGACTCCTGAATTTTAACTCCAAAACAGAATTTAGTTCTAGTTGCACTAAGTAAAATTTAACTTAAACCTGTCACTTGCACCCCATTCTACTTTTCCACTCTTAATAGTCTAAGTTTCTATTCTACTGAGTTCTATTCTGTTTAATAATTGATCACTTCAAAGTGTTACTCGCTTCACTTCAAAGAAGCGATCACTTCACTTCAAAGAAGCGATCACTTCACTTCAAAGAAGCGATCACTTCACTTCAAAGAAGCGATCACTTCACTTCAAAGAAGCGATCGCTTCTCGCTTCATCACTTCAGTATTTTTTAGGCCATCGCTTCACCTTGCTTTTTGCCTTTAACAACACTGGTATTTAGTGCCTAGTGCTAGTTTCTTTTTTGTGTTAGATCATTTCATTTCGTTTCCTCCGTCTCTCTCTTTCAACCTTCCTTTTCTCTCCTCTTACTTCCTCCTTGATACCATGTTTTTGCTCTTCCAAATTCTGCTGGGTACTTATGAAGTTGTTTCTTTTTAAAAAACAAAGAAAAATGGATTGTTTAGGGCATTAACACGGATATTATCATTTCTGAGTAAGTTCCTATATTTTGATTTGTTTATTCTCTATATAGTACTTTTAAGAAGAATTTGATCTCTGGTGAAAATTAGTTTTCTATAGACAGGATATCTTTGACTTAGATCTTTCATCTTTCTTTATTCTGCTCATCAATTGTCAACCAAATCGTAATCTCCATGACTGAATTCTGATTATTCATTTCAATATTTGCAGTGCTCTCCAGATTATGCTTATGGTGCTGGTGGATTTCCAGCATGGGGGATTCAACCTAATTCAGTTCTAGCTTTTGAGATTGAAGTCCTTAGCGTGCAGTGATTACTAGGCTGAGGTTGGTAAACCTCATAAAATTGCCCTACGAATACCCTAAATAACTTGCCATGAGCATGTATGGATGTTGTCCTAGTACTTAATATGTGTGGTGAAGCTATGTGCTATTTTTAAAATTTGTAAAAGTAGTAATCTTGCTAATATGTTGTCTTGTTGGGTTCTTGTGGTCTTGCCATGTTTTTTATCACCTTAATGAAAATTTATGCTACACATTCCCCATGATGCAGAACGAATTAGGGTAAGAGGCTCGAAATTTGGCGTTATACCTTTATGGCATCATAATAGATTCTATTTGAAGGATGGGATAAAATACCTTCAATTCTATTGGTGTAGAAATGAGTTGAGTGAAGAGAAGAAAAAAAAAAATTGTGAAATCTTAAGGCTCATAGACTTTTAATGGTGTCAGAAGTATTCGATGAAAAGTGATGTGCTCGTGAATAGGCAATTGCTGCAAAAAAAAAATAGACAACCTTTTTTCTTTTCTAAGAAGAAGTTCTACGAAAATGCCCCTGAAGATGACTTCCACTTATAAAGGACAAAGACCAAAAAGTAGTCATCGCCTATTTTGCAAAAAGATGATCAAAAAGTATTTAGTCCAAAGAAGAGTAAAATGTGTGGTAGTGACAAATAGCGCTTGACTAAAGTAATGAGGCAAACACTAGCAGATTCTTAGAAGCCGGTCGACAACCAAAAAAAAGAAAAGAAAAAGGGAAAGTTGAAACAAATCAAAGCAAATTAACAGACGCTAAAATACTACTTCAATACTAAAGTAACTACTTTTTTTTATTTAAAATTTATCTCAAATTATTTTTTTTAAACAGACAAATTTTTTTTTCATCCTTACAGTTAAAGCAGTTATTGTTAACTTTAATTATTCATTTAATCTTATGAATTGTTTTCTTTATTTTTATTATATTTCCTTTATTAAGAACAAAATAGATCGAAGCATGAATTATCTATATATATTTTTAATTTATAAAAGAAAAATAAAATAAAACATACAATTATTTTGAGAGAAAAAGTACTAAACAGCTGCGGTAGTAAATGAACTTTACAAAGATACGAGATACCAAATCTTACCACAAACTCAAATCTTCTTCTGAACCTGTAATGATGGTCATGATGGAAATCCGAAGGCAGGTACCTCGGACGAGCTAAGTTATTTCGGACGACCTTGAGTTGCCTTTGAGGGTTATTTGGAGTTAACGGCTTAGTTGAGTTCGAGCAAGCCTCCTCTAATCTCGTTTTATAGTTAGTTCGTTCATACACAAATTTTGTAAGAGAGTTTCTTATGATTATTGACATGCATGATCTTAGTTATGCTTAAGGAACAACACGTGGATATCTTTTTTAAAGTTATAAATACCCACAAGAATCATTTCTAAAATAATTGAAAATTGATTTAAAATTATTTTTTTTTACGAACTTAATTATTACTGATTTAAATATCAGAATGTTTATACAAAGACTAACTTAAGGTTTTACAGCTTAACTGAAGAGCATATATGAGTTTGAGAGGATTTCGAAATTCTTTGCAACAACGGAACCAGTCAATTACAAATGAATACAAGGGGATGCGAGGTACCAAGGAGGAGAATTGGCATAGTCAGAGTGGGAAACAATCATATATATATATATATATATATATATGAAGAAAACCGGCAAATTATGAGCTCATACCACACTTGAATTAGCTTTCAAAGTCAAAAAGCTCATCCTGTGTAGAAATAGTCCAGACACTCACACAACCGCGTTCAACAACCTTCCTCTCTCGCATTAGTTCCTTCCCTTGTCTCATCTTTACAACCTCCTACCAACTTCGTCTCTCACATAAGATCCTTCCCTCGTCTCATCTTTACAGCCTCCTATAAATACTGCTCCCTTCTTCCCCTCTCCTCAAAACACATCCATCTCAGTTCGCAACTCCAACACTTACCTAAATTCTCCGTTTTCCAAACATTTTTATTCGATCAAACTTGATATCTCCAACTTTGGGGCCTTTCTTACAAAGCAAAATTCATTTTTTTTGCCTTGATTGAGATGGGATTAAAAGGGTTTGTCGAGGGAGGCATTGCATCCATCGTGGCTGGCGCTTCTACTCACCCTCTTGATTTAATTAAGGTCCGAATGCAACTTCACGGGGAGTCCCACGTCGTCCCCAATCCATCCCTCCAAGTCTGCCGTCCAGCACTGGCCGTTGGCTCTGTTACCGGTAACATTTCCATCTCTCAAATCTCTCAACCCACTCGAGTCGGACCCATTTCCATGGGCGTCCGTATTGTCCAGTCTGAAGGCATGGCCGCTCTCTTTTCTGGTGTTTCCGCCACCATCCTCCGCCAGACCCTCTATTCCACTACCCGTATGGGTCTCTATGATATTCTTAAGACCAAATGGACCGACCGTGAAAAAGGGGATTTACCCCTTATGCGGAAGATAACGGCGGGCCTTATTGCCGGTGCCGTCGGTGCAGCTGTCGGCAACCCTGCTGACGTGGCGATGGTCCGAATGCAAGCTGATGGGCGGCTTCCAATTGACCAACGCCGCAACTACAAAAGCGTGGTCGACGCACTAGGTCAGATGACCAAGCAGGAGGGCATTGGTAGCCTGTGGCGCGGCTCAGGGCTTACGGTGAACCGCGCCATGATCGTGACAGCATCGCAGCTCGCAACGTACGATCAAGTCAAGGAGATGATTTTAAAGAAGGGTGCAATGGGCGATGGAATTGGGACCCACGTAACAGCGAGCTTCGCCGCTGGATTTGTCGCAGCGGTGGCTTCGAACCCAATTGACGTGATCAAGACCAGGGTGATGAATATGAAGGTGGAGCCCGGGGAGGCGCCGCCTTACAAGGGGGCCATGGATTGTGCACTGAAGACTGTGAGGGCAGAGGGACCTATGGCCCTGTACAAGGGTTTTATCCCTACAATCTCAAGGCAGGGACCCTTCACGGTGGTGCTTTTTGTCACCCTGGAACAGGTCCGGAAGCTGCTAAAAGAATTTTGATTATATTGCTAAAAGAAACAAAATAAAAAGAATTTTCAAACAAGTTTTGACATGAATCCTGAATCCTTCTAATCCTGTTATGCCATGAGCATCGGGATACCACTTGTATATTTATAAATTAATTGATTAATTTATTTTGCTGATGAAAACAAAAAAAGAAAAGTCAGAATTACATGGCATGGACCACAGACCAATCTTTTGATATGGGGAGGGTGAGAAAAGGTGAAAAGATGCTAATTTTGTTATTTTTTTAATTTAAATATATAAATTTATAAAAATTTTAAATTAAATAATTAATTTTTAATTTTATTCTTTTGAATAAGGTTATAAATTCTATGATTAATTTATTTGAAGGTTTATTAGATTATGATAAATGGTGACATGGTAAATAGTAATTTTAATTGAAACAAAGTAAAAATTGTATTTTTAAATAAAAATAGTAAAATTTATATTTTTAAATAAAAATAAAAATTTATTGTATGATTTAAAATTTTAAAAAATTCTTATTTTTGAATGAAAAAATAAAATTTATATTTTTCTTTGAATTTTATTTTAAAAAAGACCTATTTTAAAAGATATTATATAATTCAAACTATACAATATAAACTATTATATAAAATTATCTTTTAATAAAAAACATTATCTATACCTGTGACACCTGTTGCACTGGATAAGATACAAATATACCAAAATTAAGACTTTAATTTTAACTCTTATAAATCTTCCTTTTCCTCATATTCCCTCATGTTCAAATAATAATAATAATAATAATAATAATAATAATAATAAAAGAACGTTCTCTATTCAATAATTAATATTCTACATATCCATAACAAAATATAGCAATTTTCAAAACTTTCTCAGTTTTAGATTTAGAAGAAAAGATGTGGGTTTTAATTACTTTATGAAATACTAGTTAGCATCACTCATTAAGAATAAAGGTTATTCTAACTTATGCGGACTTATTAAGAATAAAGGTTATTCTAACTTATGCGGCTACAGGTTAAAAATATTTTTTAAATATTAATTATTATTAAAATTTTTAATATTTATTTAATTAATTATTCAATTAAAATAATATATAATATTAATGTTAATTTTTATTATTTTTTATATTAATTAATATAAAAAATATATTAATTATATTATTAATTTATATCCTAAAGATACAAAGTAAGTAAATCCTAAGAATAATTATTCCTTAAAATCATCAATCTCCTGTTAACGAGATGAAAGACTCTGCAAGAGGCTAATAATACATGCTTTTTTCTTTTTCTTTTTTTTTTTTAATGAAACTAATAAACACTCTATTCCCTCTAAACGTACACTCACGAAATCAATGCGAATATAGAATAAGCATCTCTTATTTCATTTTACATTCCAACCTAAAATTTCTAAATAGTTATCAGTTCATATCCTTTAATTACGCAGATTGTTACTTACATATTGACATTTGGAATTAGTACTCAATGGATTTATATGATTAATTTCCAAAGTCGCACTCGATCCACATAATTCTCTTTTCTGGAGTCATTAATTCTCTGTTAGTGGTTAGTGACGTGATTATATTGGTAATGAGTGGATTAGATCATTAATGAGTAAAGGGCACATGTTCTTGTCTGTGTGAGTCATCCAACTCACCACCGAAAGATATCACCTAGAATGCTTTACTTTTTCATATAACCGAAAGTATATTTAGTTTGAAAAAAATGAAAAGGGGAAAGAGGAGGGAGTGAATTTTTATTTTTCTTTTCTTTTTCAGTCTTTTACTTTTCTTTTAAATCAAACATATTTTTACTTTATTTAAATGGTAAAAGCCTATATTTAATCCATTCTTCAATTTGACATAGATAACCTTGCAACTCTTGGTAAAACATGTGATAATTTAATGTATTTAATGTCAATTTTAGATTATTTATTTTAAATCAAATAAGTAAGTGCTAAAAGTTTTAATATATTAGATAAAAGAATGAAAATGATGTATTTAAAAAGATACAAAATTAATGGTAAACTTTTTAAATTAACTAATTAAAGGTAAAAAAGGAATGAGAAAAAAATTAAAATGTATTAGTATTTAAAATGTCAAAACATATAATATAAATTTTAAATTTATCAAATTAATTATTTAATTATTATAAAATATTCTAACATTTTTAATAACATACCTCTTGATTTTCTTGTTTCAAAGAAAGAACATATATTTTTTTGAACAATTACAAATTTAGAGAGGGAGATTTAAACCTAAAATTTAAAATTATGATGTACTTTTTACAAAAATTTATAATTAATTAACTTTTTATGCAGGTATAAAAAAAAGAAAAAAAAAAGGGAAGAATATTCTTACTTATGGGCATTTCTTGGGTTCCTTGGTGGGCCTTAACATCATCGCCCGTGTCTATATAATCTTAGCATCTTCCACCTCAAGCACTTCTTCCAGTTCCTTTCCCCAGGTTTCAAATTCATTTCTTCTTTGTTCTCTTTGTTAGGGTTAAATATTCTGCTTTAGTTGTTTCTTTGTTCTCGAATCAGAGCCAAACCCAAGATAATTTTCACTGTAAGTTATTAGTTGGTACTTCAATTTTGGTTCTATCATTTCCCCCTTCACCTTTTGGATAATTTGTTTATTGCTAGCTGGATGTTCTCTGTTTTTTCTATAAGAAAAAGCTTGAGGAATTCTGAAAAAGGGTTTGAGAAGTGACGTTAAAGTGATCAAATTCCTTCGTTTTCCCTTGTTTTGGTGTTATTTGTTTATTTCTGGCTTGACGAGCTTGTGTTTCGCTCTGTTTTGCTGCTGAAAAGAGCTTAAGAAATTCTTTTTGAAGGCCTGAGAAAAGCAGGAAAATTTATTGAATTTGGTGATTTCATCTTTGGGTTGTTGCTGTATTAATTCTGGGTTTTTACTATTTTGCTATTGATGGGTTTATGACCCTTTACTCTGTTGCTCAGAAAGTTTTGGGAAAGAACTCTTTCATGGGGGAGAACAGTTTCATAGTTTTCGTGTTATGATTATTGTTATTTGTTTATTTATTTACTCTTGATAGGCTTATCCTATTTTTTGTTTTGTTGCTGAGAAAATTTTGAAGAAGAAATGGCTGCTGTATCTTTCATTTCTATGTTTGTTATTAGCTATTATTATATTCTTCATTTGATGTTACTTCTACTTAATCAGTATAATTAATTGGAGAAAAAAAAAAATGAAGGGCCTAGGGATATCATTTTTTGCACGTTTGAAAATTTGATGATTTCTCACCATGATAAAACGTAAAAATCCCTTGATGATGCTCCAATCCTACATCAAGAAGAAGGTGTTGATTCTAAGTTTCCAGTGATATGTAAAAGTTACCACGAAGTAATAAACCACTAGCTTGAACTTTTTGAGAGTCATTTGGACCTCAGTCTGAGTTCTTAGGTCTGGGATTTCAGCCTGGCTTCTTTCACCATGTGGCTTTTTTGAGATGGTTTCTCCAATGTTAGAGTTTGTGTCAATTCACTCCGTTTTCTTTATTCTTTTACCCCCGATGCTTTGCTTTTAGTTGGGTTATTTACCTCTCAACTTCACACATTTCATTGTTTTGCCATAATTACTAGCAATTTTAAGCTGCATACATTTATAGCTATATAAAATGCTGAACTTTGGTTGTAGTTGCTTGATGCATTAATTTTTTTTAAATAGAATGATGAAAGAGAAATGGAACTTATGCATCTTAAGCTTTTATCTATTTCTGAAAACTAATGTATCAAGCATTATTTGGATGATAGTTCCTTTTATCTATTGAGTGATGATTGGTCTATAATTTTGGATTTTAATTGCATTACTTATAGAATCTTTGTAGAGAAGTAATCTATTCATCTTGTAATTGGGGTTTATCTATTCAAGTTGATGTTATTTGTTCAAGTGTTTGTACTGCCCTTTTGCAGGGAACCAACAGCTGTGAACAAACTAGCTGCGCATAGAAGGGGAACAACATGCCTTGGTTTAGTCACTCAGCTGATGTGTACTGCAAAGTTGTGCGCTTAAATTTATATTGCAGGGTTATTTTATAAGTCGTTTCCTCTTTAAAGATACCTTAATTTTCATAACACCCATCCATTTGCTTTTTTGTTCAACTTTCCATGGGATCCACTTGTTTCTTTTCTGTCTTTTATTGTGATCATTATAGGGTTAGTTAAGATTGAAAGTTAAAAACTAGTCTCCAGTCAAGCTCCCTCTTCTAGTTTCTGTTGTTGCTTGATCTTCTCTAGAAGTTAGATATATCCTTGGTTTTTATACCTGAATTAGCTTTTGGTTGGATTTTATATTTTGGGCATTTGTTTGTGTCTTATCCCATACACTGTGAGCCAAGGGTCAAAAGAAGTTATGGTGTGCCAGGCAGCCAGTAAGACAAGATTTCGAGCCTTGAAATATGAGAATGGGATTGCTGGAAAACCAACAATTGTAGTTAGAGTAATTGCATGCTTTCAACCAATGGAGGATTGCCAGGTTAGTTAAATTTTAGTTTCATAACATTGTCTTTAGGTAAACTATTTCTTAATTTAATCCTCTCTTCCTAATGATTTGTTTGATTAAATTCTTCCTAATGATTTGTTTGATTAAACACATATATCACACATTTGTTTTTCATTTTCCAGGCTGAGTACTTTCGCCATTTGCTTAAACCTGTCACGTAGATTTGTTCCAAGTTTTCGTTATAGTATCAAGCAAGAGTTCTTAGTTATTTGTTTAGATATTTGTTCATCAAAGAAGTGTTAAATAATTTAAAATTCAGGATCAAGCATCTTCAACCTCTTGGTATGTTTACATTGTCCTTCTTTCTTTGCTGCTAGTTTTTCTTGGTTAGTTCCCACAATAAACATTTTAGTAATTACCTTTTACTTTCTCAATACAGGTATTCCCTTGGTGGGATGGTTGAGGCCAACAATACTTGCCTTTTACCTCAGCACTCTAATTGGAAATTGCAGAGATTGAATTTTAAGAGTGCCCAGTCAGAGGACAGGCACGTAGAATGTTTGCCTGCATGTATAAATCCTGAAACTCAAATGTTTCCTGTGACTATTCCAATTCCAGTGCCTGCCGCTCCTGGTGTAAATCCTGACACTTGCATGGTTTCCACAAATGTTGCAATTGCAAGGGCTGCTATTCCTGGAATATCTGGTTCAAAGAAGCAAATGTATGAAGTTGATGGGTTGCTTCAACAGTTGCCTCCCTCAACTTCTTTTTGTCATGCTGAGCCGTGCCTCAAAGGAAAGCAATCCATCTTTGCTTTTCAACACAATGTGAAGGATACATCAAATCCAATGCACAGGCCTTTGCATAATGGTTTTATAATTTTTGATCGGTCAGGAAATCAGACACGCATGGTTTATAGCTCTGTCCAGCCTCTTGCCCAGCAAGCAACTACTGCTGTTGCAGAACTAGCTTCTGATGCTAATTTACATGAACGTTGGGCAGTTAAAAGGGATCCTCCATTGAAGTCCATTTTACAGGAAAACTCTGGTGAGAACTATGAAAGCGCTGACCAGAGTGAGATGCATGAAGACACTGAAGAAATCAACGCATTACTTTACTCAGATGAAGAGTCTGTTTATGATGATGACGAAGTAATCAGCACTGATCACTCTCCAGTAGCAACCAAAGGAAAATATCAGATGCCAAAACGCATTGAGGATGTGATTGAGGAGGTTGTTAGCTCTGATGGTCCATACAAAAGGCAGAGATTGCTGAATGGTGGATACAACATATCTTCAGTGATGGATATTGCATGTTCAGTTAAATTAGATGCCTCCAATGAATATAACAGTGACAGAGAATCAGGCTATGCCATTGGACAGAATCAAACATTGGATACACCTTCTGTTTTTTGTGACAAACTGGCCAGGAAGGATAAGATTCGCATGACATTGAAAATACTTGAGAGCATAATACCCGGTGCGAAAGTTAAGGACCCATTGTTAGTCCTTGATGAAGCTATAGACTACTTGAAGTCCTTGAAACATGGCATGATGGCTTTAGGAGTGAACCACTATTAATTTGCTCTTCCTTGTGATGCAGTAATTTAGCACGGATGATCCAAGAATTCATATCTTGAATGATTGATGAATTTGAAATCACTACACTACATTGGCTTTTGCTTGGTGGGCTCCTCCCTTTGTCATCTTTTATCTGAAGAGCTGTTTTCTGCACATTAATGGGCAGCTGAAGGAAAAATTGGATGAATGAAGATTGGTTTTGTTTGGTGACTAGAAATGATGCTCTTTTAGCTTTTTGGTGTGGTTTATTAGGAAAAGGTAACAGATTTTGAACGCATGGGGGAGAGGATGCTATGGTAGTGCTGGTCTGTGCTGTAAAATGGAATGAAGCTCCCTCTTTTCCTCGACAAGCTCCATTGGATTAGTGTGGCATGCGTGTTAGGTAACTTGGGTCCCATTTCCCACCCCCCCTCCTTCCTTCACTTTTGATTTCATGCTTTTGTCCTCTCCTTTTTACTCTCAGTGTACATCATGCTGGGTAGTAATCTCCATAAAGCATGAGGAAAAAGTTTACAGGGGATGTGCATATGTGGATGGGAAGCTTTTCGCTTCATCCTTTTATCAAATCATGTAGTAAAAGTTGGTTTGTTTTCACACGGGTGTTGTTTCCTACTATGGTATTCTTGTACAGCTTGAGTGATTATAAAGTTTGTAAGAGTTGATGTTGTAGTTTGTTCTGTTCATGTACCAATAATTGAAGTATGGACTCTGCTCATGTATTGTGTGGAATTTACCTGGTGTCTACTCTATCTATTTACATCCAGCTGTGTGATTATAAAGGCTAAAGAGTAGTCCAAAAACCTAAGGTAAGCAAATGTGTCTTCTAGTGCCGTTTTATAGGCTAACGGTTTAAGTTTTGGCGTAATGCTCAATAAAATTTAATTTAGTAAATAATAGATGTGAGGTGTGCCTGTAAAATATTTTAAAAAGGGACTAACTTCAAAATACGTGTAATTTGACTTTAGTATATCCTATTTGTCTTAAAAATGTATGTAGAGATTAATCCTATAAATTCTAAATATGAGGCCTCCAACTCCAACTTCAGATATTAAAACACCAATCATTAGGTTGGAAACAATGAGACATATTGATATATTTTGTTTGATTTCTTTGTTATTTTGCATAAAAAATGAACATCTTAGTCAACCCTAATACCAAACAATCTCAATTTTCATTGGTGGGTTGTGGTTCAATTATTGAAGAGCTGTATCCTGACTTTGATGTAAGTTGAGAAGATGCCTTTAACTACTTATTATATTTCTTCATTTTTCTCCTCGAATGTGAAAATGGAGAAGTTGAAAGAAAAAATTGATTGATTGATATAAAGCGGAGGTGGCTTTAAGCCTTTAACATGGGTAAAAGCTACAAGTTGAAAGGTGCTTTTAGTGCCTCCATAACTATCTAAACAAAGGGGGTGGTGATGTTATGAAGGTAAAGGATGCCTTTATTTTATTTTTGTATGTGATTATGGTTACCATTCATTTTGTTAAGGATATTAAAATTTGATTGATATTTGTAGTTTTTTTAAATAAATATTATAATGTCTAAAAATATCAATTTATAATTTGATTTTAATTTATTAAGTAATAAATATAAATTATTTATTAGTTATTAATTATCTTTAACAATCAAAATATCAAATAAAATAAAATCAATATTTTTTAAACTGAATTTTAGTGACCTTAATAGTATAATAGGGAATCATAACTACACCCCTTTATTTTATTTCCATCTTTATTATTGAAAAAGGCCCTTTTTTAAGGGATATTATTATGGACAATAATGACCATGTAATTGATGGCTACCATATAATTGCAGCTGCCACTATTTCATGATGTTTAAATTAAACTAATTAAATCATTGCATATACAAAACATGAAAAAATTAATTCAAATTAATTTAATGATCACATATTAACTTTTTAGTAGTTGTGGTGTAAAAAAAGAAAAATCAATGTTAAAGTAATTTCAAATGCCGCAAGAATTACTTTTGATTAACAAAATTACAATAGGAGGGAGGATATTGCTGACAAAAAAAAAAAAAA